GAAAATGTTTAGGACTAAATTGGCAAACTTAAAAGGTTTAGGACTAAATTGCAATAGGTTTAGGACTTTTTGGACAATTTTCCCTACAATGTGGTCCCTCAACTTTTAATTGTTCAATGTGTTCCATGAACTTTAGCCAATGTGCAATGTGGTTCCTAAACTTTTAATTTGTTCAATGTAGTCCCTGAACTTTTAGTACACATTCAATATAGTCCCTGAATTAAATGAAAATGTTCAATGTTGTCTTTCCATTAATTCAAGATCAGGGACGACATTGACATTTTTATATAGTCTGAGGACTAAATTGAACATTTACCAAAAGTTCAGGACCACATTGAATAAATTAAAAGTTTAGGGACCACATTGCATTTTCGACCAAAGTTCAAGACCATTTATGTCATTTTCCTAATTTGAGAGTGTCGCAAATATTCTTTTTTGAAATGATAATCCCTAACTCTTGGTACGACTTGCTCCCAATCTCAGTTTGGCCGTTAGATGGCTTTCAGAATTAGGATATTCCATGGCTTAGAAGTCCAACCGTTTCTCCCTTGCAATTTTAGATGTCAAAGCCATTCACTTTTACCGATACCAGCCGACATTTCTCCATTCAAACATTTTCTTCAATACACTTAGGCTCCGTTCGTTTTGGTGGAAAATATTCTCCTTTTGAAAAATATTTTCCCGAAAGTCATTTTCCTGGAAAATGTTTTTCCGGAACATAATTTTCCGGTGTTCGGCGACCAATATGAAAAAGTTTCGGAAAATATTTTTCACCGGCGGCGGCGGCCGGCGGCGGCAGCGGCCGCGGCGCGGCGGCCAGCGGCTGGGCAGCAGCGGCAGCGGCGGGCCGCTGAGCCGGACCGGCGGCCAACAGTGGTGACCGGCGACCAACTTCCTCTCCCACGGAAAATATTTTCCCTCCCATGGACAATTTTACCTTCAATTTTGGGGAAAATGATTTCCTCTTTGTGAAAAGAGGAAATCATTTTCCTCAAAATAATGAAGGATTTGGGGGTGGGGAAGGAAAATGTTTTCCCACGGAAAACATTTTCCGCCCCCGAACATCGGAAAACGCGGAAAATATTTTCCGGAAAAATATTTTTCCTCAAACGAACACAGCCTTACTCTTTCTGTCGACACTTCTAACTTTTGTCCAATAAATATTCCTGGAGTCTCCATCTATTCCAGTGGCAATGTTTTGCAACGGAGAAAAACTCTTTCCTGGTTTTCAACCTTATCACCCAAAACAATGCGCTCGACAATTTGGGTTGAGTCGGGGATTCCCATGCCAACGATTCACTCGATGAAATTCCCTTTTCTCCCGTAAAACTGAACACAAGACTGATGAGACATTTAAATGCTCTTTATTGATTTAAGGACAAGATAGCAAAGGACAGGAGATTTAAAGATGCAAGTAGTAGAAATAATTGCTGCCAACGATGTAAATTGCACTGAAATGTAAATTCTATTGAAAATGAGGATGAAGAAAAATATGCATTCTTCGGTTGATTGGTCGAACCTTTACAAATAATATATTTGGGGTATTTATAACCCACGATTACACGTAAACAGTTACCCATGCTATATGTGGCTTCTACTATTTAGTAATACTTATTTACAAGCAATTACAATTCCAAAATTATCTGCTCTACTTTCTTGCAGTTGATGTTGACTAACAATATCACATAAAGGGGGTTGAATAGGTGTTTTCAAACTTTTGCTAGAATAATGCAGAATTAAAAACGCCAAGTTTTGAAACCAGAGTAACTAGGCAAAGCAGAGTATAAATAAAATTAAAAGTTTCATTCTGCATTCAACCATTCAACAAGAATTCTTTGAAGGTATAATATGTATGTAAATTTTGTCGCACCTAAATTTCCAAAAATTTGAAGTGATGATTTAGTTTTTCAAATGAACTTGAAAATGATTATTACTTGATTTTCTCGATAATTCATATAATTTAACTAAAAATGAAAAATACATATGCAATAGTATTATAAATTAATGTACGTTGTGTCATTCAAAAGAATTTCTAATATGAAAAATTGAGTTTACACACTCAATAATAACGAAATTAACTTTTTCACAACAGTATTATGGACAATCTAATTAGCGAGAAATGATTGTGCTTTTCCTTCGACACTTAAAATGCAGTGCCCTTATGATGCTTATAATGTTATAAAAGCTTAGGCGATTAGATAAATGCGTGGTTTAATATTTAAATATTTATTACTCTTTTTGTTTAGTACGTGGACATATTTAATTGGAAAGGTAAATAGGAGCCTAAAAAGATTTGAACTCAGAACCTGCTCTGATACCATGTAAGATTTGGGAGGAACCATTACCAACTGTTCTAAAAGTTTAAACTGTTAGATGAAAGCATGATTTAATATTTAAATATTCTATCATTAATCTTATCTAATGAGATTTTTAGGACTATATATCTTTTGATATTTTGACTCACCTATATGTATGATATTGTTATCTAACCATCGGATCCTCAAGTATCAATAAAAAAACTAATGTGTTTAAATGGAAATTGATAGATTAAGTATACCCACTCTGTCGAGTGTGAAACTATATGAGTAAGTCAGATTTTTATTCATATGACCCAAGCAATTCCATTTTTTAATGCTTTAGCCCCATCTTTTGATTGCTTTAGAGTGATATAAATTTGAATAGAAATAACTAATAAATCGGAATTGTCAATGTATTTCTTAATTATTCATCCTTCATATATTAAACCTATAAGATCACTGGCTTCTCTATTCACTGCATCGACAAGCCAGTAAAACAACCTGCCATCCTCATCCCGAATTAAACCTCTTGCGCTCAGTTCGATTAGGTTTGCCAGCACCTTTTAGTCTGTGTTGGCCTATAGATTTTCGAGCAAAAAGAACCGCATATGTCAGTGCCAAATCCGATGGAATTTGTCCGGTTTGAAGAGCCACACCTGCCAAGTTGACTATGTCATCTCCGACCACATCCCAGAATTTCTTGTAAAATAATGCTTGAAAAGTTGAAAACCATCCAACCTTGGTGATTTAATAGACCCCATTTGCTCAACGGTTGCTTATAAAATAAGCCAAGATATATTATATAAAAAGCAAACTATCAAAAATTGGCAATTTCATAATATTTATGCCGGAGAATGGGTGAATTGTTTTATGAAATAATGACCATTGGTAGTAAAAAAAGACAAATAACTAAAAAGACAGCCAACAAAGAAAAATGTTTTAAAATGACCAAAATGTGTCTATGTCATAGAACGGGTCTATTGCTTTATGAATTAATAAAAAAAATGACCATTGGTCATCAAAAAATAAAAATAATTAAAAAATGACCATTGCCGAAGAAAAATGTTTTGAAATGACCAAAAGATGTCTAAAGGGTCAATTGCTTTATGAATTAAGAAAAGAATGACCATTGGTCGTCAAAAAAGAAAAATAATTAAAAAAAATGACTGCTGCCGAAGAAAGATGTTTTGAAATGACCAAAAGTTGCTTATGTCAGAGAAAGGGTCTATTGCTTTATGAATTAAGAAAAGATGACCATTGATCGTCAAAAAAAGAAAAATAATTAAAAAATGGCTGCCGCCAAGACATCAGAAAAAGGGTCTATTGCTTTATGAATTAAGAAAAAAATGACCATTGGTTGTCAAAAAAAGAAAAGTAATTTAAAAAAATGACTGTCGCCAAGACATTAGAGAAAGGGTCTATCGCTTTATGAATTAAGAAAAGAATGACCATTGGTCGTCAAAAAAGGAAAAATAATTAAAAAAAATGACCTCTGCCGAAAAAGAAATATTTTGAAATGACCAAAAGATGTCACTGTCAAAGAAAGGGTCAATTGCTTTGTGAATTAAGAAAAGAATGATCATTGGTCGTCAAAAAGGAAAAAATTAAAAAAAAAAAAGACCGCTGCCGAAGAAAAATATTTTCAAATGACCAAAAGATGTCCATGTCAAAGAAAGGTTCTATTGTTTTATGAATTAAGAAAAGAATGATCATTGGTCATCAAATAAGAAAAATAATTAAAAAAATGACCGCTGCCGAAGAAAAATGTTTTGAAATGACCAAAAGATGTCTATGTAAGAGAAATGGTCTATTGCTTTATTAATTAAGAAAAGAATGACCATTGGTCATAAAAAAGAAAAATAATTAAAAAATTACCACTACCGAAGAAAAATGTTTTAAAATGACCGAACGAAGTCTGTGTCAAAGATTGGGTAAATAATTCTTGCACTTTTGAATGCCAACATTGTGCAACATTATCTTAGGCAAGACACCTTACAAGATTGCCCTAGTACTTGGACAAAACAAGCCGAGAACTTGTTGGTCGAGTGGTATCTACCCAGTACAACTCCTCTCGGAGGTTTTGAATCATGTTACTTGGGCTGGGTTGGATTGGGCCAGGTTGGGTTGGATTGAGTGTGGGTTCATCTCATCACGCGAATCAAAAGGATAATTTCAGCTAGAAACGCTAGGACTTATTCCAATTACTTACATGTGCGCTCATTAAACCATATTTCAAACTGAATGTTTTAGCTAAACTGAGTTAAATGCTTCTAATTAGAACATCTATTTTACTTGATATATTGTGCTTAAAAAACAATTTGATGTTCAAATATCTTTAATTAACTAAAGTTTTGAAAAACATATGCATTGCCAAGACATGGAGATCTTGATTCTAAGTTCGTTATAATGCGACTTTTCCTTGTTTTACCAGAAGAAGATTAAGAGAAATAGTTAATTAGCATGAATTTGGACATGAATATATATAGCTAATTTTGTCTATGAAATGGTTGCTACAGATAATAGTATGTCGTCCTATTGTTTTTCAACTAATTGTTCTTGGAAGAGTACCATAACCCTCCCTTTCATTTGACTCGGAACTTAGAGGATAGTATCCAGTTTTAAAGTTTTGAACCGGTGTCGAACAAATTTCAGAGTACAGCAACTACCCATTGCTTTTTTAAAAGATAGCACCATTATTCGCTGTACTCCCAATACGAAATCCTCCCTTGCTTTCATTTGATTCAGAACAATCCCCTGGACCGTCTACGAAAACAATTTTTGCTGATGGACACAATCTCAGTTTGGCCGTTAGCTGGGTTTCATAGTTAGGGTTCTATGCACTATCCATTTAAGTCAAAAAATTCCTACGACAATGCTGCTGCAGATTTGTTTTGACACATGAATGCGGCTCATTGAGGAACCGCGAGTAATGGAGAGAGAGTGCAATCGAGCTTCACAGTGGAGCTAATGGCAGCATCCTCTAGGTCTAATCTTGATATCCTCGTCTCCTCATAAACCCATCCTTCCTCTAAATACATATGTTGCTGCAGAAAGCTCGCTAGTCTTCATACTCGGTCATCGTCGTCCTCATTGTTTTCTGCATATCTCCATCGCTCCACATTCTCTTGGTCCTCTTCCGTCTCTTCACTATCTTCTTCCTCGTGTATGTCTTCTTTAACTGGCCACGGTTTCTTCGCCACATTCAAAGCTACGGGAGTAGGGCTGACAGCACCCTTCCTCTTAGTGGACTTTGCTGGGGGCGTCTTCAAGTTTGGTTTCTGTCTGCTTTGTTTCTGGCTTTTCCCGTTGGTGCGCTTTCTGCTGTAATTTTCTTGATCACTAGCTTCGTCCATTTCATGATCTGCATTGCGTGTGGCATTCTCAGCATTCTCATCAGCCATGTACTCGGGATGCTCTCTTCTCAAGTGAAGTTTGAGCTTGTACTCATGAATGTAAGCCTTGTCACACGTCTCATACGGACAAGCATAAGGGCGGTCAGATGATGCCGACCCATAAGCTCCACTGGAAGGCTTAGAAGCTTTAGTAGTGATCTTCTCCGGAGGTGGTGTGTACTTCGTCACCTCAACTGCCGCATTCTGTGGAATTAGGTAGAAAGTCATAGTCACAGATTCAAAGTCAATTAAATCAATGACACTTAGAACTAAAATAGCCCCTAGCTTAGTAATCAAAACCTAGATTTCCCAATGTTTCCAAGTTGACCAATATTTATCAGAAAAATGAAGAACTCCCACTTTGCAAGTTAATTTCCTTTTGGATCGTGCTTAACTAATCAACTTAGCGACTTGGGCAATAATCATGTATCACACATGGCTTTGAAACTGAAAATCATAATAGGACATGTGGAACCCAATCTCAAACTGCTCAGATGCCTGGCTCCCCAAGCATCCTTCATTTCAGTAGTAACACAATAATAAGAAAGCAATACCAACCTTTTCATGCTGCGATGCAATGTGGTTCTTAAGCTTGTACTCGTGAGCATATCTCTTTCCACAATCTGAGTATGGGCAAATATGATAGTTCTCTTGAGAGTGTGTTTTCATGTGGGACCTCAAGTTGAAATCCAGGGAAAATGCCTGAAATAACAAGTGAACTGTCAAATAACAAGTGGTCCAAACAAATAATAACTACAAGCATCTGTGGCATGTCCAGAATAGGTAGATTGAATTACAGCATGTTGTTTATTACATCCACCAGTGTGCTAATTATTCATGTCAACAGGTCAATATCCTATATGAAAAATTAGCCTTTCTTATGCCGCTTACTCACAAAATTCTCAGGTGTTAAATGTCATTTGGTTTTAAGTACTAAATTATTACCTGTAACCAATTATGATCTTAATCCTCACAATCAGATCAGCGAAACTTATGATGTAGAAAGGAAAGCAAGAAAGGAATTAGAGTGGTAGTGAATAAGTTAGGAAAGCGGACTACAAAATATATCAGCACTTACTATACTAAATAGAGGATTTAAAATTAAAACAATTCTACTTTTCATCCTTGTAATTTCACGCTTTCTCCAATCAATTCCCTGCACTTTTAATTTGTTTAATCTAGTCCTTCCACTTCTACTTTCATAAATTATCTAATGAAATTCCTCTGACACCACATTCGGTCAAATCCAACTGACGTGGCCATCAGACGACTTTGTAGTGTGACGTGGACAAAATCTTACCAATGTGGATGTCCACGCGGTTGTCCACATGGGCTAAACTTTATCCACATCATACCCTGACATTGTTTACATTGGTCAAATTTTTCCACACACGTATACACACTGTCATCATTAAAAGAACATGTTAGTTGAATTAGATTGGATTCAGTGTCAGGAGACTTGATTAGAAATTTTGTGATGGTAGATTTTAACTTAACAAATTAAATATTCAGGGACTGGATTAGAAAACGCGTCAAAGTACAAGAGCGAAAAATTGCTTAAAATAATTCGTGCATCTTGATATAATAACAAACCAAACTCAATATGATTGTCAACTTCTATTTTTTTGGGTCAGATGATTCTCAACAAGTAATGGAAAGAGGATTAAACTATCTCAGAGAAGTAAAAATCTCTTACTCAGTCTTAGCCCTATAGAATTCTATACAGGACCTGGTTGGGAACTACAATTCTGGCTACACCACTATAGAAAATTGAGACACCATCTCATACAAAAAATAAATGCCATCAAGTGAATAAAGATAAACAAACCCAGCAAAGCCTAGAAATTAGATTCAGGGGGGGCAGATTGATTGACCACCTTACCACAGCCTTCATAAGGACATACAAAATCTCTTTCCCCAGTGTGAATAAGAAAGTGCCTTTTTAATTTCGAACCATCCAAAAATTTCTGCAATACAAGCAAAGGAACAATCAGCATGCAGTGCATACCTAAAGAGACAAAAAGGGAAAATAACTTTCGACCACAAAACAAAACACAAACAACTACCAACAAACACTCCGTCTAAAACTTTGAGAGTTCATTAGCAATTGATAAGGATATGCCTGCAAGGCTGGCAGAGAAACAATTTTCATATTTTGCAAGTTCGGGTAGAAGGTCCAATCCATAAACTTAAACTACTGGATAAAGAGAGAAAACATCACTATGAGGCCAAACAAACCCAGGAACAAGTGATGTTGGATACTTTAAACCCAAAGAACCGCAAAGGGAATGGACGAACAGGGAATAAGACAGAAAAGCTGCACGTGAACTGAAATTTAACTCAAAAAACAAAAATTATTAAGTGAAGGGAGACCAACGCAAAAAACCAGATGTGGAAACTAGTTGCTAACCAATCTCTAGTCCGCTACCAGTCACGGTTTGCATTGGTGGTTGCTGACCAGTGGCTGATCTTTGCTCTGATCAGCAACCAGCGAAAGGGTGCCGTTTTTGTGCATGTGCATGCACGTGAGAGAGAGAGACAGACAGAGACAGAGACAGAGACAGAGAGACAGAGACAGAAAGAGTTAAACCGAACCAAGAAATTTGAGACGAAACACCAGATACTCAAAACAAATAGGCTCGATGCAAGCAAAACCAAGCATCCCGATTACGGCCGTCTTCACAGGCAATGGCGAAATCAGCCGGCTCCGAATAGAGCAACATCCATCGCAAACGCTGCACCGCGAGACCGCAACAACATGCTCGCCAACCTAAACCGAACCGCACCGCCACCTGTTTTGCCCTCTACTTCATTCCAGATTGTCGCGGCCGCCAAAAGCTACTCATGAGCGCGCGCGCAGAGAGAGAGGGAGAGGCGGGGTACCTGAGAAGCTTGAGCGAGCTCGTCCAATTGAGAAAGGCATCGAAGATCCCGCTTGTCCCTAGCGCCGACGTGCTTGTGGTTGTGGATTCCGAACCCTTGCAACTTCCTGAGCGAATTCTTCATCTGGAACCCCCACCGAAGAAGGAAGAAAGAAAGGAAGAGAGAAGAGAGAAGAGAAGGAAGGAACGCCAAAAAACTCCGTCGACAAACAACCTAGTAAAGAAAGAACAAGATGTTTCTTTTATCCATTACAGGCAATCGAAATATAAAGAAATAGTCAATATATTCAAGATAATTACATTTCTACGTAACACCATAGGCGAACAGACTTGGAGCCTAACATGCCATAATTACCACGAGATGCCCATCCCCCAACATTTGTATAACTAGTTTGACGTTATAGCAATGAACAAGGGCGACAGCCACCATTCTGCGGTAACTATATATGTCGCTGCGAACAGTCCCACCTCTCTCAGAACTAGTTGAGACCTCACTATCTAGCAAGAGAAAACAGAAATATTTAAATTAGCCCGATTCGTCAGATTCATCAGAATCACTTCTTTCAGGTTCCGCCGCATTAGTCTCAGCCTCTGGCACTTTGGGTTTTGCAGTGGGCTTAGGAGCAGTCTTCCTGCCTGGTTTGCGGGAATTTTCATCTCCGTCTTCCTCTTGCTCAGCCATGTCCACATGTACGGCACCATGTCAAGGAAAAATCAAACAATGGCAGGTGCCATCTGCCAAATAAAGTGGGTTCACATGCTAAATGTGCCGTAAGAGGCCAAAAGAGAACCGTGGTTTCTCTACTTAATATGCATAAATTCATTTGTTGACCTTACTACTGTGATCATCAATTGGACAACGTAGATGCCTCAACCAAGCTGATAGAAGCTAGATGCACATCCGCAGATACCACCCAAAAAAACAAAGAAGAAGAATCCAAGATGGCAGTTGCTATCTGTGCAATAAAGACGGTTCACATGCTAATTGTCCCATAACCTAAAAGAGAGCTAAAATATCTGCACTTAATATCCATTACCAATTCATCCCTTGACCTTATTTTAGGGATTGTCGATTCAACAACTTAGATGCCTCAATCAACGTGATGAAGCCTTGCTTGAAGCACACAAGGCACTCCAAAAAACCATATTAACGGACCTAAGCAACAGATATGAGTTAATTAGCAAGCAGATGCTGATATGCCTACTACTATAATCAAGGAATAGATATGAGTTTTTTTATAACATCAAGAAATAGATAATTAGCATCAAAGGATATCAGCATTTTCTGCTGTCCCACCAGCCATGATGTTCAACAGATCCTTTTCAACACGCTGCACAAGCTCAGGCTGCAGCAAGTAAAGAAGATGAGGTGATCATATATCTAGAATCTACAACCTATACGTACCTGATATTGCCTTCAACACACATGAACCGGTTACTTTAACTTAGATTTATTAGTATGTCTACGAATCCATGTCAGGCAACGCTTCCACTTCAGTGATGCAGTAAATTCTACTAATGTTATGTCCTCAACTTTAGCAGATACTTTATGTTTTACAATGCAATTCACCACTAGATAGCAGACCCTATATCTAACCTACCATTCCTAATCAAGTTCCCCTTCCCTCCACTCCCCCAAGTAGAAGGAAAAATAGATACATGCTCAAAGAAGACTGAGGTGGTAATTACATTTAGGTCAGGTTCTCTACGGAATCTTCTCTTGCGTGCATCCCTCATAGGAGGAGTCAGACCATGTCTGTACTCCACCACATCTGGGGAAGGATCTCCTGGTTCTCTGACCATTATCATCTGTACATGAGTTACCTTTAAGAAAAAGGTTCACAAATGAAGTAACAGTGCGGAAACTCTTAAAAAGAGCCCTTCACCTGACCAATGTCTGCAGTTTTAATCAGATTAGTATCATCATAGGTTTTGTAAGACTCCACAACAGTTGGTAGATCCATCAGAGAGGCAGTGAAATGGTCATTTCCAATGACAAAAGTTCCAGTCCTCCCATCCTCTGCCAAGAGAAGGAATTAAAAGATAAACTTGCAACCAAAATATGCAAAGCCTTCATAGGATGTAAAACCTTATGCAATATGACACGATGATAATGACTGAATAGAACAAACTACGCCTAACTGGAAAAAGTATAACCACTAGTATTCCAATTATGTCAATATAATGAGACGTCCATCCGGATCCAGCCAAACATCCAAGAAAGGAAAGAATCTCCATTTGGAATGTCAGAATCCACAGATAGAATACGCCTTCCTTTCAAGAAGAGTTATTCCTAGATAAGCTTATAATCCTAATCGAAAGCCTTGCCAGATAGTTAACGATAAGAGATACAACTACACATCTTGTCTGTTCTAGGGGGCTTCATTTTTCATAAAAGCTTGTAGTTTTTTTAATGGACACGGATGATACAGGTTTCATACCAGAGAAAGATAAATCTAACACCTTGTCATCAGAAGTAGATGCATCTTCATTCAATAGTAGTTCTATTCGCTCAGCAACAGAAGGTGGAACCCTGAAAATGAACTGTTCCTCCATGCCTAAACACACAAAAAGGCCAGTAAATTAATCCAAGTAGATAAGCAAATGTTGAAAGAACTACAACTTCTCTGATTACATGGTATTAACCAAAGAGTCATATTTTGGAAGGTGAACGTTGCAGCATTAGGCAAGATTAAGGATAGAAGAAAGAGGCAGCTAAAATTTAGGAGCCATATGTTCAAGGTACAGAAGGCGGAACCCTGAGAATGAACTGTTCCTCCATGCCTAAACACACAAAAAGGGCAGCTAATTAATCTAAACTTAAAAAGTAGATCAGCAAAAGTTCAAGAACTACTCCAAAGCAGTATAGCTCCACCACAGTCCTTGATACCAAAGGGAATAGTGAAAAAAAAGGAAGAAGAAGCAAGAAAGCAGGGGAAATAGGAAAAGGTTGTTTATTAAGAGAGTTAATACAATGACTTAGAAACATGGTATTAATCAAAAAGTCATATCTAAGGATGGTGAATGTTGATAGCATGAGGCTAGCTTCAGCATAAAAGAATGAGGCAGCTAATTGGAAGGGATGTAATATCAGTCTCAGTTCAATGGTCAGTAGGCAATGGAGAATCAATTAGAATCCGCGAAGATAAATGGTTGAAGCAGGGCATAATTACAGGACCTACTAATCTAGAGGATCCTCAGCTTGTTACCGAGTTGATAGACAAACACAACTACTCATGGAAGGAAGAAAAAATCCAAAACGTGTTTGAAGATAGAATCGCTAATGAAATACTGGCGATCCCCATCCCATCCACAGGAAAGGAAGACAGAATAGTATGGACAGCAGCAAAGTCTGGAACCTATTCAGCCAAAAGTGGGTATAATCTTCTCAGGAAAGGGGACAAGGACTTAACTCATAAGCAAGCATCGTCCTCTTACCAAAAGCCTAGAACTTTGTGGTGCAAAGTGTGGAATTGGAAGACCCTACCCAAAATCAGAACTTTCATGTGGAATCTATGCCAAAATGCACTCCCTACGAAGGAAAATTTATTCAGACGAAGAGCTTTACCTGACCCGATGTGCCCTTTGTGCAGAACAAGCCCAGAAACAGCAGAACACTTGTTCCTACTCTGTCCCTGGACAACTGAAGTATGGTCAGACCAAAATCTACGCATACGGATACAGAGAGAAGGTCTCACCAGCATAGATCGATGGCTTCTAAACTACAAGAGTGACTTACCTAATACACCCAACCTTGAGGTAGTGGCTGAAGTGCTCTGGTTCATTTGGAAAAGAGAGGAACGCAGCCATTTTCCGAGCTAAAATGCCAGACCCACAAGGAGTTGTGTCCGAAACACTTGAAAAGCACGAAATTTTTAAATCTTGGTGCTCGAATCAGAAGGTTCGCTCGGCCGCAAATCAAAACTCAACCTTCAAATGGATCCCGCCGGCTTTGGGTTTGCTTAAAAATCGACGTTGATGGTGCTTTCGTTGCCGGAACTTCTACTGGAGCGATAGCCGGAGTGTGCAGAGACGTATCCGGAGTGCTGATGGGTGGGTTCGCTCGAGAGGTGAAGGCGCGATCAGCACTGCATGCTGAAACCCTAGCAGTAATTGAGGGTTTGAAGTTCGCCTCCGAGTGGGGAGAAGGAAAAGGGCACACGTGTGTTAACTGTGGAGTCTGACTGTCTCACTTTAGTTCAGACACTTTGGGAGCAGATCAAGTCCTGTTTGGTTCAGCATTTGGAAAAAGCCTTTTGCCATATGCAAAGGTCTTTAGCCTAAAAAATTTTAGAAAAATATTAGATTGTTTGGTAAACTATATAACTAAAAAGGGCATTGGGAAAATACTTGACTGTTTGGTAAACATATATTTGCAAAGTTCTTTGGTGTGACCAAATTAAGGTTTTTAATTTTTAAATTTTAAAAATTGAAAAAAAGAAACAATGATCGTAACTTTTATATTTTCGCGTCGAGAGCAATGGAAAAAATACATATTAACATTTATAGAAAAAAAAAATCACATCCTACAAATTCGATCGTAGCTTGCACACAACTATTATGATATCTCATCTCGTACAAATTTGATTAGAAGAGAGTTTAGTCTGCTTCCTAACAGTCAACTTGTGCTTCTTGTAATAGCTAGGGAAGGAACGTAATGTGCGGGTGCTCGCTCTGTCTCTATTTAACCAGTACAAATTGTCTCATTGCTACTTAGTGCTACTTCTTTCCTAAGAAATGGTGAATCACACCCCACGGACACAACGTTTTTGTAGTTTTACATGGAAATTCAAGGCTCCCAAAAACGTTGCAAGACATTATTGTACGGTTGCTCTGTCACTATTTAACCACCAAGTGTGGATTTTTTTTGGGACGATTGGGTTGTGGCCGTGTAATTTGATTCATTCAGGAAGGTAAAATTCATTTGCAAACGAAACCAGGGAGTCATTTTCTTTATTCTTACACAAAAACCCCTACGAACAATACCGTGGCTATCTTACACGAAAACCCCTGCAAAAATCTTTCACTGCTGGGGGAATTTGACTAGAAGAAAGTCATTTCATTACAAGACTAACGACTGGAATACATAATGAACATATATTCCGTATTACAAAATACACGACCCTGAAGCAAATTTTCATGTCTCAATCTCAAGCATGTATCATTTCGAGTTCATCAAGTTCATATATCTCTGGTACAAGAAAAAGTTAATATTTCTCCAAGGTTCCACAGGGCCTGTATATATTTGGTCACCTCATAACACCATATTCAGTTCTATATGCAAGAGGGTACCTCATGCGCTGAAATTTAATGTGGAGCTTGCAGCATATGTTTCACTCTACATGAGGTGAAATTTAATGTGGAGCACGGTTCTCTATCTTCCACAACTACTCATGCACCAAAAGCCCACTGAAAAAGACGAACTTCCCCAGAATTTGCGTTAGTTTTGGGGTCATCCTTTCTTACCAATACAGGAAATACCAAGCAAAGCACATAAGCAATTGAAAATATAGAACCGATTTGAGCAAAGCGAATCAGCAACAATACGTCTGAACCTGATAACAACACACTCTCAATCCGTCTCGCTCAAGAACTTCATTAAGAACAACAACAGTAGGCAACGGAATCAAAATCAAGCTTTTACAAGTTATGCTCAACACGAAGTAATCCAAAAATCGGAGAAACTACCATACCTTTAGGGAAGAGAGGCGAAAAAAGCCGACCTCAAAACGCGTGAAGGACGAGGTGGACCCCCAGAAGTAAGTGAACAAGAGGGGGCTCGCAAGTCATGCGTGCCACTTGCCGTTGCGTTGCATTGCTTGACCTCGACCTTGATTTATTCATTGCCAAATTCATGCGCATTAACCAATTTTCTCAATCTTCTTCTGGACGATAAAAAATTCACCATTGTTAAATAAAAAAATATTTAAAATGACCAAAAGAAGTCTATGTCACAGAGTGGGTGAATTGTTTTATGAATTGATAAAATATTGATCATCCAAAAATTAAAAAAATTAAAAAGTTACTACTACCTAAAAAAAATTTTTTAAAATGACCAAACGTAGAGTGCATAAGAGAGAATGGGTGAACTATTTTTTTTTTTCAATTCTTGCGCTTTTGAAAGCCACAGCTTTGCAGCATTATCTTATGCAAGGCATCTTACAACCGAGTACTTAGAGACGAAACAAGCCGAGAACATACTAGTCCAATGGCATCTCCCCTGTTCAAGTCTTCTCGGAGGTTTTGAATCGTGTTACATAATTTGGGTTGGATTGGATAGGGCTAAGCCAGGCAAGTGACCCATCTGAGTTAGAAATCTTTAAACTTTTATTCCAACTATTTATGTGCTTGCGCGCTCCGCTTCGTCCCTAAAGTAGATTATATTTCAAAGTGATACGTTTTAGCTATATTTATGTAAAATTCTTCTAATTAGAGATCAATTTAGTTTAAGCAACATATTGTGCTTAAAGGACAATTCACTGTGCAAATATTTTTGGTTTACTAAAATTTTGAAAAACATATGCGTTGCATGGACATGGAGATCTTGATTCTAAGTCCATTATAATGGGAGTTTTTGTTATGTTTCCAGAAGAAGATTGAGAAAATTGGTTAATGAGCACGAATTTGGCGATGAATACATATACCTAATTTTGTCCATGAAATGCTTACTATAGATAATAGCATGCCCTTGTATTGTCTTTCAACTTATGGTTCTTGGAAGAGTACCATAACCCTAGCTTTCATTTGATTCAGAACTTAGAGGGCCGTATCTAGTTTCAAATTTAAGAACCGGTGTCGAACAAATTTCAGAGTAGAGCAAATACCCATTCTTTTATTGAAATGATAGCACCGTTATTCCCTATACTCTCAATACGAAATCCACCCTTGCTTTCATTTAATTTAGAACTACCCCTTGGACCGTCTACGAAATCGATTTTTGCTGATGGACATAAAGCTCAGTTTGGCCATTAGATGGGTTTCATGATTAGGGATCTATAACTATCCATTTAAGTCGAAAAATTCCAACAACAATGCTGCTGCAGATTTGTTTTGACACATGAATGCAGCTCATTAAGGAACCGCGAGTAATGGAGAGAAAGAGCAATCAAGCTTCACAGTGGAGCTAATGGCAGCATCCTCCAGGTCTAATCTTGACATCCTTGTCCCTTCATCAACCCAATCCTTCCTCTTAAATACATATGTTGCTGCAGATAGCTAGCTAGTCTTCATACTCGGTCTCTTCATCGTCGTCCTCGTTGTTTTCTGCATATCTCCATCCCTCCACATTCTCTTGGTCCTCTTCCGTCTCTTCACTATCTTCTTCCTCGTATATATCTTCTTTAACTGGCCACGGTTTCTTCACCACATTCAACGCTACGGGAGTAGGGCTGGCGGCACCCTTCCTCTTAGCGGACTTTGCTGGGGGCGTCTTCAAGTTTGGTTTCTGTCTGCTTTGTTTCTGGCTTTTCCCATTGGCGCGCTTTCTGCTGTAGTTATCTTGATCACTAGCTTCGTCCATTTCATGATCTGCATTGCGTGTGGCATTCTCAGCATTCTCATCAGCCATGTACTCGGGATGCTCTCTTCTCAAGTGAAGTTTGAGCTTGTACTCATGAATATAAGCCTTGTCACACGTTTCATACGGACAAGCATAAGGGCGGTCAGATGATGCCGATCCATAAGCTCCACTGGAAGGCTTAGAAGCCTTAGTAGTGATCTTCTCTGGAGGTGGTGTGTACTTCGTCACCTCAACTGCCGCATTCTGTGGAATTAGGTAGAAAGTCAAAGTCACAGATTCAAAGTCAATTAAATCAATGACAGTCAGAACTAAAATAGCCCCTAGCATGTAATCAAAACTTAGATTTCCCAATGTTTCCAAGTTGACCGATATTTATCGGAAAAATGAAGAACTCCCACTTTGCAAGTTAATTTCCTTTTGAATCGTGCTTAACTAATCAACTTAGCGACTCAGGCAATAATCATGTATCACACATGGCGTAGAAACTGAAAATCATAATGTGGAACCCAATCTCAAACTGCTCAGATGCCTGGCTCCCCAAGCATCCTTCATTTCAGTAGTAAAACAATATTAAGAAAGCAAGACCAACCTTTTCATGCTGCGATGCAATGTGGTTCTTAAGCTTGTACTCGTGAGCATATCTCTTTCCACAATCCGAGTATGGGCAAATATGATAGTTCTCTTGAGAGTGTGTTTTCATGTGAGACCTCAGGTTGAAATCCAGGGAAAATGCCTGAAATAACAAGTGAACTGTCAAACAACAAGTGGTCCAAACAAATAATAACCACAAGCATATGTGGCATGTCCAGAATAGGTAGATTGAATTACAGCATGTTGTTTATCACATCCACCAGTGTGCTAATTATTCATGTCAACAGGTCAATATCCTGTATGAAAAATTAGCCTTTCTTATGCCGATTACTCACAAAATTCTTAGGTGTTAAATGTCTTTTGGTTTTAAGTACTAAATTATTATCTGTAACCAATTATGATCTTAATCCTCACAATCAGATCAGTCAAACTTACGATGTAGAAAGGAAAGAAAGAAAGGAATTAGAGTCGTAGTGAATAAGTTAGGAAAGCGGACTACAAAATATATCAGCACCAGCACTTACTATACTAAAAAGAGTATTTAAAATTAAAAAAAATCTACTTTTCATCCTTGTAACTTCATGCTTTCTCTAATCAATTCCCTGCACTTTTAATTTGTTTAATCTAGTCCTTCCGCTTCTACTTTCATAAATTATCTAATGAAATTCCTCTGACACCACATTCGGCCA